AATGATCGTCACACTAAGGGAATATCTCAGTTCTATTAGCCATAAAATCATAATTATTAGCATAAGGCTTGTAAAAAATTAAATATGATACTAGTATTTTAATTTAAAATTTAAATAATACTTTAATAACTTGACAGATATTTTCGATTATTCTGAAAAAAAAATTAAAAAGATCAGTTGCCCTAAATATCGTCACCTCTCTACCTATCCTCACCAAGCTCTAAGGAGAAAAAAAATTTTACACAAATACAAAATGCTTTGTTATTGGTATACATTTTTGATTTCCAAAAAAGTACGTCGTAAGTATCAGTGGCGGATACAGAATTGGGTTAAATATTATGTATTTGGTTTAAAAACGGCGGCGCCCTAAAAAGTAAATTCTACATTACTTTTTATTTGGCTCCCCTAAAATTCTTGTATCCGCCACTGGTAGGTACATTTTTTTCTGTTAGACATTTGGTAGTCATGTAAAGGAAGTGACCATTAAATAATATACGCCTTTTCGGAAAGAAACTTATTGTCATGAAATCGCTACGTCATTAGTATGCATTTGACATAAAAAAAATCATGGAAAAACCAACCGCAGTGATTTTTTACCTATAGTTTATACATGAATGGTTGAAAGCACACAGTTTTAATTCGAGAGACCTTTGATTCTAAACATTTAATTAATTCAGAATATCTATGGAAGCGATTATATACCAACCTATTGAAAAAATATCGGCGTCAGAGTTGGCTTGGAAATTAATATCGCTATCATTTTTTATTTCGTCGGTGAAATGTGATAAACTTAACTCCATTATTCCTAATTTTACAGAAGAGAAAAAAAAACGGTACAAAAAAATATGTGCACATGTAGGAAGTATTTTCATTGGTTAATATGATAAAGAGATAAGAATTTTATTTGCTGGGGAACAATAAAACTCAATATTTCGTGTTACATCATTTTTTTCGGGCACAATAGAGGGAGATAGCAGATATTCGTCTTGCAGAAATAAGAAATAAAAATATACTTCTGGAGATAGCAACCTTTATTGTTTGAAATTTTGAAAATGGAATTGAATATTACCCAAACAGATTTAGAAATAATCAATTAAATTTAAAAAATATGATATTCATAACCATATATTTATAATATCGTCGGTCTAGAAGAAAAACATACAAAAACGAATAAATTTTAAATGCATTTTTAAAGAACTGAAGTAACAGCATTTTAGACTTAATGAATATGAAAATAATTTAAAAATTAAACTTATAAGTCTTAGAAGATATGGTAGAATCTATCCTAATTTTTTTACAACAGTAGTAGACCGAGCTTGGAAAACAGTGCGGTCATTACCTATAGGATTTATTTTTTTAATTTTTATAAAGATTATGTATCATTTACGTGGAAAAAAGTTGAAAAAAATTAAACTTATTAGGTATTAATTCTTGTACAAGTAAGTAATGTTATATTATAGTATTCATTATAATATTCATTATTTATTCTTAACAATATTTGCTTTTGCATTGCATTATGGGGGGGGGGGGCATTTGCTTTGGTATTAGTTTACCTTGCATTAGGGTAGTTCTCTGATTACTATACAGGATGAGTCTTAAATAAGTGCAAATATTTTCAGGGCTGGTAAATCTCGATAAAAGAAACATAATATTTTCTCTTTACCGTTTTTTCAAATAAATCCATAACAACCAAGTTATTTCACTTTTAAAATTTCAAATTTTTTGCTATAATTTTGACAATCATTGGATTTTCTTTCTTGTAAATTTAATCTACTACCTATGTTGCCATATTAATAACTTATATTATTATATTATAACAAAGAAAATATGTTTTTAAACTAAAAATTTGAAAAAAATCAATCTTTTTTTTAAAAATTCCAAATTTTTAAAAAAAAAATCGCGCAAAAAAACTCATAATCGTGTTTCTTGGGTCGAAATATACTACCCCTAAAATATTTTCACTTATTTAAGACTCACCCTGTATATAATAGGGAAAAATTGACTAAAACGTAAGGCGAAAAAATACGCAAAAAAATCCACACGGGCCCCTCTTTAGATACATTGCCACCCGGATCCCTTTGGCCTAGTTCGACCCTGGATCGACGTACTGTACAAAAGAAACATACGAATATGAAACCGTGTGTTTGCTTTAGCGCGATCGTAACGGAAATTACGGAGATAGCAGTATTTCGGTGACACTACCCCCGAGCCAGTGATGATGTTCGTCCATAAATATAATATGTAAGTACACATTTAGTTTTATAATTATTTTATTATTCGTAGATTAATTAAATTGATTATTAAGTTAAATTGAAGTATTTATTATTTGCTATGCCCCTAGTCATAACCCACAAAATGGGGTGTGACAGTATAAAATAACTTATTAACGTAAAAAATGGAGTTAGCAGGTTATCACATTCCACTGACGATTTATTCTATTGTATAAAAATATTTAATACTCTGTATTCACTAATAATGTTTATGTCTGCATTAATTTTGAGTTGATATCGGAAATATTCTTATGAGATTTTATTTTGTATGTAAATAAATAAATAAATAAATAAATGCCTTTATTGTCAAAAAATTTTTCAATTTGTAGACAAAGGTAAACTAACAAACAAAATAGAAAAAAAAACAAGGTACACAAACAAACAAACAAAAGATAATACGAAACATTATATAAATAATATTGTCAGTCTTATTGTTAAAATAAACATTTATAAATGTTTACAATGTCAAAGAACAAAAAATTTAAAATAATATTCAAAAATATTTAGCCAGTTTATAGCAAAATATCAATGACCTCTAAATAAATTAATTTTGATGTCATTAGTAAATAGCAATAGCAAACAATAGACCAGTGTTTTCAAGATGAAATTCGATTTTCAATTCAAATATAATTCATTTACGGCGTAGAAAGCCTTGTCTAGTAAATAAGAGTTTACAAGAGACATTTAAAATACGATTTTTTAAGCGAAAATGCCAAAAGCTGACATATGATTTATCATTATCTATTCAGAGTAGCATTTTCTATCAAATTAAGTAAAAAAAATAAGAAGGGTGCGATTTAAAAATCAAAAGTTGTAGTCGTTTCCGGTGAAACAGGAAGTGACCAAAAACAATTGAATACACCAATCAATCCTAATTTATGTCATATACTAAGGTACCAAATCTAGTTTTTGTACCTAAAAAATTGTGTGCACTATGTGCGCATATTTGAAGTGAAACTTTTCTGTCCGTCCGTCGGTCTATCTGTCCTCCGCTTGTCCGTCCGTCTCTCTATCTGTCTCTTCGTCTCGCCCTGATGAAGATGTAAACAAAACGTCGTATTCAACTTCAGCCTACCCACCAAATTTGGTCGCAATCGGACGACATCAACTTTTCACGTTTCTTACGTCAAAACTAACCACAAACTAACTGTCACAGTGACACGTCGTACCATTGAACTATATACTAACATATTTTAGTTTATAGTTCATTGCGTATTGCGTCGTACACAGTGAAGTTGGTCTTGGCCAAATCTACCGACATACCAAATTTCATTTGAATTCAGAGATATAGAGGTAGAACTTCTATATCTAGAGATATAGAACTTCTATATCTCTGTTTGAATCAGACGATTTTTTCGCCATTGATTATAGGGTTTCATAGTGCACGAAACGTCGGCGTGCGTCGTCTAGATACCATGAAAAGATGGGGCTCTTCGAGCCACATTCTTTTTCTCAATACCTTTCAGCGAAATTATAATTTAAATTTAGTATTTTATTTAAATATTGCCACTACCCCTCCCAGACTCATCCTCCAGAAGCGCCAATGTCGAGTAGATGACAAAATCCTTGGACAAAACCATAGACAAAACTACAGACAAAATATTCTTTCATATAATTCACTATACAGGATTCCTTACGTAAAAATAAGATTTATTTCTCATATCAACATAGGTCCGATTCTGCTTTGTTTCCTAGCTACAGGGTGTTAAAAAGTCTTAATAATATTTCGATTTATTATAATTTTCTTCCAAGTACTTTTAGTGATTCGAATGAAATTTTGAGGGTAAAAGGTACTATAAGTGCTACATATTTTAATGCTAAAAAAGTGTCGATAAATTCATCAGGGACATGCATATGGGTTATCACTGGAATATTTTTCAAAAAAAAAACATGTGCGCCAGTGACTTTTTTTCTTTTGATATCAAAATTGGGTAGGCCGTTTAATACCAATTAAAAGTTATCTCTAAATATTTTGTCGAATTCGGTCTCCTTGATGAGATAAATATATTTTATCTAATTTATTATTAAATATTATTACTATTAGTCTAACCTACAGCGATTTCAAATCAAAAAATATTGGTATTTAAGATAATTACAAAAAAACTAATTGTAAAAAGTTTTAACATCCTGTATGATCCTGTAATTCTAAATCTATGCATTTCCATATCCATGTTTCTAGGAACTTTTTTTCATATTCTATGATGAGAAATCAATGAGTACTTATTTAACACTTTCGCAAGTTAATGATATTAACATTTTTTAAAGGTTGCTATTAGACTTGGACACAGACTAACCTAACTTTTGGATCAAGCAGGCAAATTAATAAAATTGCGTTTATCTCATCAAGGAGGCCGAAATCGACAAGATATTAATAGATAAATTTTAATCGAAATTAAATTGCTTACACTATCTTTTTTAAAAAAATATTCCAGTGATAACCCATACACACGTCCCTAGTGAATATGTCGACACTTTTTTAGCTTTAAAATATGTCGCATTAGTAACTTTTACCCTCAACATTTCGAAACACTAAAAGTAGGTACTTGGAAGAAAATTACGATAAATCGACAAAATATTAAGACTAACACCCTGTAGCTATGAAACAAAGCAGAATCGGACCTACGTTGATATGAGAAATAAATCTTATTTTTACGTAAGGAATCTCCCCACGAGAGATGGCACATGGTTTTTGAAACACCCTTTATAAAATATCAGATTAAAATAGCAGAATCTATTGAATAACGTGTATATTAAATAGAATGTTATAAAATACCTTATTATAACTACATATTATATATGATTTAAATAAGTCAAAACTAGAAATGGACTAGGTACAAAAACATAACTTGCACCGAAGGTACAATAATGATAAAAATAATAATAATAAACTTAGGCTGTATTCCGTTGTATGACCAGGTTTGTAAAATACTAAGAATCGGTTCCTGAAAAATATCGGTAAAATATGAAACAGTTTGATACAATAGTAGAAATGTCAAATACCTATTGAGTTTTTTTTTATTTTGCATAAATATTCTTAAATTATAAAATTTTTATTTCATTCTTAATTCATCTTTTAAATGAAGTTTATGTTGAAAAATACTTAATAAGTAAATGAGCTGTTAAACTCGTCACACACATCAAGTACCATACCCTGCTGGCAAGCGAAACCTTGGGTCGGCGTTTACATGTATAGGAGGGAATCGCTATGGCAATTTAGTAAGTCGGGGAGAGCAAAAATACGAAGTATTTATTACATAACCACTTAATCTGACGCTAGATTCCATGCGCTTGGGAAAATACTTGCCTTTTGTCTTTATTCGGTACATCTTATTTTGCTAAGCCTGTACCGGTACCCAAGACCAGAAATGCCAGCCCTAGTATATCGCGTTCGTTTTGTACGTAATTATATGTGGAATTTGCAATAAAAATGATATTTTTATGGCATTATATGCTCCAGCTTTTTTGCTTTGGTTAAATTGGTGAAAATAACGACAGATATTTTTCAAGAACGATATTCCGTAATAATAAGAATTTTAGGCAAATCATAGAAACGGAACAAATAACAATAACCAAGGTAAGACGGAATACAGCTTTAAAAAAAAAACAATTTATATAATTTGAATAAAATTGAAGAAAAAATATGGCAACAACGCTAAACGGTTGTGTTGCCAGATAGCATAAATATCAAAAAACGATACTTATAAATCTTAATGACATTTTCGTTGCTTCACAAAAAAATAATGTCCAAGGTTGTCAAAAATATAGATGTAAATGCATTGAAATTGGAAAAGTACTACTGGAATATGATCAAAATCGCTTCATTCAAAACATTAGAAAAATCGCGAAAATAAACATCAATTTTAAAATTTACTAGTAAGATGTGTATTAATATTCCTTTGGGAAAACATAAAATACGGCAAATTAAAAGAAATCTACTACAAAATAACTGCACGTGGCAACATCGCCAAGAAATAGACAGGAACAATGTTGCCGCTTACTCGAATATCTTTACTGTTAACGAAAAATATTTAAAATATTTTTGGACTTGTTTATTCCAAATATGACTATTTTTTTCTGTTTTATTTCTCTGGATCGCTTATCTTTTCCCAGTCGTCGTCGGTACTGCAAGTGCTGCTTCCGGGTGTACAAGGACTAGCACCATCACCTTTGCACTTATGTTTTTCCTGTGAGTTTGGACTGAGCTTTTTTGAACTTACTGACTTGTTTTTCTGCTCCTTTTCATAGTCTTCTAGTAAAGCAATTTGTTGTTCCTCAGTTAGGTCTACATTTGCTGAAAAATACTCTGAAAACATATGTTGTGAGTTGTGAGGTAAGAATTCTTTGTTTCTAAACTTACCATTTTCCCATTTTAGACCTTCACCTTCAGTTTCATTATTTTCTTTGTTTTCTATTTCTTTTTTATCCTTTTGTTTGTTTTTATCAATAATTTCTTGTCTAGCTAGCTCATCTTCTAGTAATGCCTTCTTAAACAAATATCTAAAACACAAACATATATTATGTTTCAATATATAAACATTTTTTATTCAAAATAATACCTTTTCCAAAACAACTGATGTTCCAAAATTTCTGGTACCAATTTAGCATAGAATTTCTTTAAAACTTCAGAGCTATTAACATGTTTGGCAATTCTGTCATCCGACAGCTGATCAGTATCTAATATTTCCAACCAACAATCATACTGTTTTTGTAGTTTGGGTTCTGGATCGTACATGTATGTCTCTGGATTACTTTGTAACTCATACAGAGCTTTCTAGAATAATTACAAAAGATAGTACTACTTTTTCTATAAATCCCATAGTTATACAACTACCTGATATGAGTTAGGTTCATGCGTTTCAGAATTTTCGATAATAAGTATCTCAGTATCGCTATCATCAGGACTAGGATTTAATACTGTGTTCATTTGACCTAAGATTTAGACAAAAATGTTATAAAAACTTAGATTTATGCAGTACACTTACCCAAAAAAGTGCTGAAACTTCTCTTAACTGAATTAACAGTTGAATCAGGAGATTCAAGCTATAACAAACCATCATATAATATCATCAAAAGAATACCTATATGATTCTTACACTTAGTGTTTTTTCCACAACAGCTCCTGCTGATGATGCCACATTGGTAGCTTCAGTTTTTACAGCCGTACCAAACTCCTCTAAATCCTTTTTGACAAATTCTAATACTTCCGTACTCTAGAAAAATTTTGTTTAACTAGAGGATTTAATTATATAATAAGATCCTTACAATATTTTTGGCTGTACTCAACCAAGAGTTAAACCATCCATCTTTGTTGGTACTGCTAAAATTGAATAGATTGTTACAAATATTTTGATAAGATGGAGGTAGTGATAAATAATAAACAATTGTTTTAACAACTAGCAATTATTGCAAGCACTTGCTAACTTCCAATTAAACAAAGCATATAGCATTATGAAATTGATATCACTGGAGAAAAAAATTAACAATTATTAGTTTGGTACATATGGAGGTCCTTTCATGAATATAAATTATTAATGGCTTAAAAAATATACTTAAACACCTTTAAATTATATACATACTTCTCAGAGTTTTCAGACATGGTTTATAATATATATATAATAACAATAAACACGATGTACGCACTAAAAATTTATCCAAAAAGTTAAAAGTTGACAAATATTTCTTGACAAGTTACTTGTTCTTGTTTTCCTTTTTTTTCTCTTCTACCACAGAATATACTAATGAAATCTTCTACATTCTACATGTCAAATGTCAAAGCAGCAGACTATATGTATGCAACTAGTTAAATCATACCAGATCATACTTAAATTATAAGGCTATAAATTGCTATGAATACTTCTTTAAAATTTCCATTATTTTATTGTTGAATAATTAACTAAATTAATTTTTAATTAAAAAAGTAGCTTAAAGGGTATACCGTTTAAGAAGAAAAATATTTTGACCCTAAAAATATTTTTAAAACTTAACGTGTATGTTTAGTAACCTAACTTGACCTAATTATTCTCTTATTTTATAAGAAAAGTGTACAATATCTTTATAAATCATATAGATATATAAAAATATATTAACATCCTAAAAGTGTATATTAAGGGTATTTCCATAAGAAATTATGTATCTGTTAAGAGACTACCTAGACTTTAGTTAGACTAGAAGTTCTCTTACCAGAAAATCAATATGAATTTTTCGAATAATCATTGGTTTTGGGACCATACAAGCCTTTAACATCCATAATATCCTTGTTTATATACCTTATATACCCTTGTTTACATTACTTTTAAATACATATACAAGGGTAATATAAACTAAAGGGCCCTGTTTGAAAAAAGTTGATGATGGCAGTTCAAATACGAAACGGCGGTTTGAATTTTTTTTCAATAATGGAATTTAGTATAACAACCTGCATAAAATTAACCAAGAAATTTTTTGAAAATATTAGGATGCATGTTAAATTTGAACTTCTTAAAATCTATGACGTCCTTTTAAAAGAAAACGTTCAAAATTCGAAGCATGAAAATTAGATTTAAATATTCTTTAAATCTTAAATCTAAATGATAAAAAGCAAATAAGAATTTAATGACATAATATTAATGACATAATAAAGAACTTTATTGACATCATTTAACAAACTAAACAATTTCAAAGCTGAATAACAGTAATCCTAAAACTAGTAATTATTTAATAATTCAGATTAACCATTGTATTTGCTTCTTATCTATATACAAAGTTAAATAACACAAATGAGTAATCCCGAATGGGCATACTGCCATAGATACAACGAAAATTAAATAATAATGCCTCAAATATGAAATTTACCACTTGTGGAAGGCAGGATATATTTTTAAACTGTTGTTTCTTAAGTTACTGATAGCACTATTTGTATAGGTCAGTGTTTACATCTAAAATACTCTATAGAATTTTGAAAAATCCAAAATGTTGAAGGCAAACTGTAAGCATTCACTTGTGCTTATTGTCTGTGTCTTAAGTTTGCTTCTTTTCCATGATCAGGAGTGTTTTTCCTAAAGAAATGGAATTATTAATCATTGATTTTTTTCAATTTAAAAGAAAACATTAAACTTACTGGTCTGGACTTTGATCTGTGTCACTTTCTTCCAGTTCAGTTTTGTTTCTTTTCTTCTCATAGATGATTATGACAGCACATAAAACTATAACTTCAGCACAGATACCCAGGAATGGCCATAAAGCAGCATATTTGTCTGAAAATATTTTTTAAGAAAATATTTTTTAAAGAAATATTTGCCTTTGTTGAGAAAAGATATGTTATACTTCTTAATGTCAACATCATCACATTATTATGAGTTATTTGTTATTTCCATTTATTTACTGTACCTAAATGTATATCCCATATCCCATAGGGATTTACATTGATCTACTACCGTATGATCAAATAAAATGTCAGTGATGGCTATCAAATGAAGATTGCTGTCATTTTATATGAAAAATTATATGGGAAATGTCATTTCCAAGCCGTTTTCTTTTTTGATCATACGGTATCATGAACTACATTGATCTACTCTTATATCAACATTTCTTAAATAAATGAATGTATTGATTTTTTGTGCTTAGATTATAGATATCACTAATTTACCTTTAACTCGCACCATACTTGTTGATTCTCCCAAATCTTGAGAATAATATTTGTTCTGGGCAATACAATAATATAAACCCCTATCAACTTTGTCAACTTTCTCAATGAGCAGCGCCCCATCTTCGACAGTATTTCCACTTTCATCAACATAGTCTTCAACAGTGATTCTTTCATCGCTTGTGCTCACTGAACCATTGTAGTAACCGGTCTCAATTTTCCAAGACAACTGGGGATATGGGTGACCCAAAACACTACATTCAATTCTCAGTTTTTCCTCTTCTACTACATTTATATTTTCAGTCTTGATTTTTACAGCAATAGTTGCTAAAAAGTATTAAATAAATAAAGTCCTGCTATAAAAAAAAAACAAGTAATATCACTACTTGTAATATTATGAACTTACTTGCTACAAATATATTTTCAGTGTCTTGAACAGCTCCTTTTACCAAAACACCACATGACCAGTTACCAGCATCATGATTGGTTGTTTCAGTCACTTTTAAAGTGTGGTTACTTCCCTGTGTCAAAAGTGTAAATCGATTTTTCAAATTGTCCACCTCGCTCAATAATTTACCTTCCTTTCTCCTATATAAAAAAAAATACACACAGTTAAATCCTACTCTCATATTTTATTCATATAGCGGTTGGCATACCATTCTACACCAATATTATCAGCATTTTCTGAAGTTGTTACATTGCAAGTAATTTTTAGTTCCTTCTTGACAGCGAAAATCACAGATTTTGTTTCAGGTGAAGTATAAAAAGCATCAATTGAAGCTGCAGGGAAGAAAAACAAACAATTTTATTAATGTAGTGAAAATTTCTTATCAAAACAAGAGTAAAATCAATAAAGAGATTCTAATAAGCAGTTTAAACACTTGTCATAATACAACATCCTTGAAATTTACTGCTTGATGTTAATCGCCCAATAAAAAGTTATTTCAATAGATATGATTTACGTAAATGATAATAAAATAATAAGTATAAAATCTAAGAAAGAAATAGGGTCTACAAAACGGATAAGAGCCTTATTTTTTATAGCTATTAGATATCTAAACTAAAACTGGAGACTGGAGGCAATTACTTGTTGCCTTGATTAAGGCTTGTTGTATCTGCTGGAGACCTATCTGACTCCAGGACATACAGCCCGAAAAAACCCGTATATATCAAGGAAAACTTTGTTTATGATATTCAATACGATATTAATGTAAAAAAAATGAATGATTAATTGAGGACAGTTGAATAATTTCTTTTGAAACATTTCCTGGCAGGTTATGGCAAAAAACGAGTCCTCTTGGATGAGGGTTATTATAAACAAGATTCTTATATTACCTGTTTGTGATGCTGCAGTTTTAAAAATGAAAAATAAGGCACACAACAATAAAAGTTTCATTTTGAAGGCGTAGTCCTCCTATGCCTTCACTTCAAGCAGAACAAAACGTTTGACGTTTGGCAATTATTCAGACGATTCAATCTAATTTTGGACACTGTCTCATCCGAATTTAGCTAACCAATCGTCCCAACCGTCGAACTTGCGCTTAGAGAACTGAGGAAATTCGTTCGATAGGTGAAAATGAAACAGAGGCAGTACCAAAAACATCAAAATTCAAAATTTACGTAATAAAATTTATTGACGTCAAAATCATGTCAAAATCAAATAAATATTTGTGACATCTATCATGAAACTACTTTAATACCACTTTTTACAGGACCCTATCTACCACTTACAGGTCCCTACCTAATTCTCAGTTTACACTCTGTTTAATAGATGCCACGACCGGCCATGACCAGACCAGCATATATAGGGTGATCTGGGAGATAAGGTGATCTTCGGATTCTGGGAGAAAAATAAAGGTGAGTTTTATAAGAGAAGTACATGGTACAAAGAATACAAGGTATGATATTGCGCAGGTTGGTCGCTACTAGAGGTGGGTTGTGAAATCGCAGTCCGCTACTTTGTCACAGCTCCACCAACGTCGCAGTATGTGACTGCTCCAGTTCCAAGAAAATCGCAGTGACATTTCGGAGCAGTTTACAAGTTTAGGACATCTGCGCTCGTGAGTAGCAATAGGAGCAATAGCAGGCAATAGTGTAAATTCTGAAAATGCTCCTAGCCCCGTCGCCCGGTCAGACTGTTCCAGTCACAGTCGTCGCAGGTCGCAGTCGACTGGAGCATAGTATATTGAGTATATTCTGTGTACTGGAGCTGTTGGGAGTTTGGGAACGGGAAACGTAGCAGCGTTCGCTTTTTCTTTCATGAATCTAAATAAGATATTTATGTATTATATATTAATCACAAACAGATGTTTTTGACAAAGGTAATTTTTAACTTGTTAGTATGTTTATTTGTTAGTTAATTTTGTATCTGTGTTTTGTTGTATATCCTAAATCTTTTATTTGATCTTATACATTCATATAAGTTTTATTATTTATATCTATTTTTAAGGTCTGATGATGGCTAAATAGCCGAAACCGGTCACTAATAAAGATTTTTTTGACAGTTTCGACTTTGAATTGAATATAACATTAAGTTTTTACCATGGGCCACCACTCTGTGAAAATGAACAGACTCTTTAAGATATTTATAGCAAAGTGCTTGGTACTTAGAAACACTCAAATTCTTCTGAATAGACTAAAAAAATATAGCAACATCTATCAAACTAAGACATCAGTATAGTACCGTACAGCCGCGATTTTAAGAGCTCTAGGGGCCCGTAGTTCGGAAAAGTTCGAATCTTGTTCGCAAGGGCCCGGGAGGCTTGGGGCCCGTCGGTGACTTACCCCGATTGCACAGACGTTAAAATCGCCACTACTGATCGAAATAAAAAACGGCGTCCAGTTGGCTTGGAAATGACAATCGATAACATTCCCCATAAATTTTACATATAAAATGCCAGCAATCTTCATTTCATAGCTATCGCTACGCCGTTTTTTCGATCATACGATATAAATAAGTAAAAACTAGACGATGATGTTGCCTATCATAATCACACCTATAGTCCTGTACTTTTTAGTAAATGCAACGAACGGTGCCGAACACCGAGTGCGATTTTTCGGAGCAATTAACCTATAAAACTACATTTTTAATTTATAGGTTAATTGCTCCGAAAAATCGCTGCTACTTGTCACAGTGCTTTTATTGGAGCAGTCGCAGAGCGTAGCAGCTCCACAAAAATCGCAGACTGGCCCACCTCTAGTCGCTACGTCACAGGTGATAACAGGCGCTATTGGTCAGCACGCTCCGCGCGCCAGTTCAAATCGTCAAGATATTGTTATAAACCTGTTTTTTTTGTTTATATACCGTCATTGAATTATCGCTAAGCAAGTTACTGTGGAGCAGTGCATAAGGAGTCGGGCTAGGAAGCGAGAGACCGGAGTTCGAATCTCGGCCGGAACATCACTTTTATTTATTTTTTTAAATACTGTTGTATTCTATAGTTTATTTTGTAGTATAAAAAAAGAACTATTTATTCTGTTATTTTTTAATCTCCGTTATTAATATAAATTGATTGTTAGTACAATACCTCATTTAATATAAAATAATATTCTACTTTTTGAAATGTATCGGGCCCTAATTATACCTAAAAGTAATATATTTTTAGTGATATACCATATTGTAAACTATTTAATATTTCAGTCACTTAAAAAGTTAATTTGCATTGAATAATTGCCTACCATTAAAGGAAATTTGAGCTATATAACCCTTGATGGGCATATTCTGGGTATGCAAATACTTCCTTTAAATTTTGGGCGTCGTTCAACCGATTTATTCTCAAAACCAGAAACATCTACATATAAAAAGAAGCACAGGTCACTAATTATAATAAACTGCACCCTTGGTATTACTTCCACTAATTATAATAAACTTCACCCTTGGAATTACTTCTATCACAATTACAATACGTTCATCTGCATTGGCATTTTCTACTTTTCGATGGGAAACAATAAACTTCCCAACATTTTTTAAATGATGTAACGATTCCTCTTGTGGTTACTTTTCCATAGATATCCTCATCTCTGTCCTCATGTGAATTCAGAGGCAATATAAATGAAAATTATTTACCATAAACATCGCAAACTAAAAACCTAATAAACAATTTATACCGAATATAGAAATAAATTTAGTATTTTTACCTATTATCGTCCAAGTCCATGTTAATAGATAATTATTATTTTTAAATATATTTTTGGAACTGCTGGTTTTAGTAATTATTAAATTAAACGAACTAAAAAGTCTTAAAAATAAACAATTCTTAACCATAACCCCAAAAATGCAGATCTCCTGTCAACTTTCTTTATTTTTTATTTATTCATTATTTTCCTAGTGACGTCACAGGTGGTATGCGCGAACTGAACGAAATTGGAGCCGCTATCGATCATACCTTGTATTCTTTGTACCATGAGAGAAGTATATGACTAAAATGTACGGTTTTTCACATATTTAAAATTTTCTAGAAATAAAAAACAATTTTTAAATTACAATAAAAGGTACCTGTAATATATTTATATAGAAATAATAAACTACTTATTTCTTAATCAAGTATATTGATTCTCAACTAAACACTAATTACAATAATAACGTGGTGGTTTCTACATCACTAGTTTCTACACTCAGACGAAAAAACGCCATTTTTTATATCGTCTGTCAGAAACTCCGAAATATGTGTATAATAAGTTACCCGGTATAGCCTAATATGGAGTTAAATTAACTATTGTACTTTAAATCAAATTAAAACTTGATCCAGAAAGTTATACAGTGTGAGACAAAATTAATATTGAACATTGGTCACCTTTAAAAGCATGTTACTCTTTTATTTTAAATGGAAGACCCAGTATAATATTCCGATATTCAATGGACAATTCATGTCTCTTCAAAATATTATTAAGGCTGCCTACCCCCAAACAGAGATTTTCCTAAATATTTTCATTTACATGATTTGATCTGAGTAGATCTTTATTATTTGATAAAATCTAGGTGGCTGTGATATGGTCTGACGTTACTTCAACATAGCTGTCGAATTAGTCCAACTTTAACAACTAGTTATCAGTTAAAACAAAAAAAAATCTCAGAAATTTGCCGAAAATGCAAACTTATCCTACATCAGAGAGAATTGATATGAATGATATGATTCTATTAGTTGGTGAATGCAGTGTGCATTCATCAATTAATAGAATACTTAAATGCTCCTGATTTTATCTAGTCTTTTTTTTTATGGAGATATGTTAAAGACAGTGTTTACAAAACTCGACCAACTATTGCAGGGCCTATTTTTCATCTGGTCGTGCCCTAAGGCCCAAGCAAAAATTCGGGCCCTCTTTTCCAATAAAATTCAAAAATTCTCTTGTTAGTTTGGGTTAAAAAATAAAATACTTATTTTTATTTTTTTAATAATTTTAAAAAGTAAATAAACATTATTATATTCAACAAAATAAATAATAATAAAAAATTATATCAATCTAAAGCTTATTTTATTTAATTCTATTTTCCTTATCAAATCAAATCAAAATATTTATTTATCAGTATTAAATGTTATACATTTTAATATACAAATGTAATATATATAAATACCGACAAAAAGGAATACACCGCGATTTTTAGAACCGATGCACAAGGCACATTTTCCAATGGCTGTGAGGTGTATCCTGACATAATTTAAATCATAAAATATATACTTGGGATATATTTAATGAATCTTAATCTTAATATAACAACAAACAATACCCAACTAAATAAAAGAAAATACCTAACAATTTGAAATTATAATTTTAACTACAAGTAAAATATTAAATATAACACATATAATAAAAAAAATAAATCAGTTATAATTTAAACTAAGGAAAAGATGGAACGGAACGGGCAGGCGCAGAAGGGGGAAAAAGACAAGAAGACGGGAATCAAAAACGAACAGACCATAGAGAAAGTATACCATAGAAAAAAAATATATCTAATTTAAGATAACTATAAAACTATTAGTAATAGAAGGTTGTAACAAGTTTTAAAAACTTTTTCAATATTTTTTCTTTATTTCATACGCAGATACTATGTAAAAATTCCTTCAAATAAAAAAGTTTCTTGCTTACCGAAAACCATGATACAATAAAGTTAATGTTTGAAGTTTCATCCATTGTCCAAAAAAAAATACGCTCATTATGGAACTTTAATTACCTCAGCTATCACCGCCTATATGTTCCCAATCGATTAAAAAAAAAGTATGTGAATAAGTTGATTAATTTAGGAGTTATCGCGTAGGAAAGGTAAAAAAACATGGTTATACATTTATATGCTAATAGCTTACCTTTGACATACCTGTTAAATTCACGCAGAGAACTTTCTTTAACAAATGTAGGAAGATTATTCCACAAATTAACAGCTACATAACTAAAAGATTTTTGAAAATTTGCAGTTTTATGTAAAGGAATTCTAAAATTACCTGCGCTGCGTGTCGGATAACCGTGAGACTGTGGGCTAAACAATTGTCTTAAATAAGATGGTTCACCGGTTGCCATTAATCTATAAATCAGTGAATGCATATGACACAGTCGCCTATATTCCATGCATAAAATTAAATTATTATTTAAATGTGGAGTTATATGGCTTCTAAATGTAATATTTAGATTTCTAAGAACCTCAGCACTTGGGCTAGCTTACTCAACTGCAGAAT